GTGCTCTGGGGCCCACACTGCTCCTTACATAAGCTTTGAGTTAAAAATACGCACAGAATTCTAATTTACCTGCTGTGCCTGGGTGCCCCCTCTGCACCCCACCTTGGTGGGCCGGCCCCTGGCACCCGCGGAGACCAAGGGGCTGTCGCCCGGCGGGCTCCCCTGCTGGCACAGGGCGGTGTTAGCTCCGACTGCGCTGTTGAAGACCAGGAGGGTAACAACCCGAACAGCAGCTAACCGTTTCAGGAGGCTCATCACGTGCTAGACGCTTTACCCGCGTTACCTCAATGGAGCCTCCCAGAAGCCTGTGAACGTGGTTCCTATTTTACAGTACAGGTGAACACCTTGCGCAGGCCACACCCTGGATTAGCAGCCAGGGCCCTTGACCTGGGCGCCAGCTGGAGGCCACCTGACCCCCACGGGCCCGCGCCTCTGACCTTCCCTGTGGTGAGCAGGTGGTGGGGGTCGGTGAAGGACTGGAGGGGGCCAGGTACAAGTCCCCTTCCTGAAGGTTCAAGGACACAGCAGTGCTGTGCTGCCAGGGGCGGGGGTGGCGGCCGCCCCCACCAAACTCGTGACTCCCGAACACGTGTTTCACCCAAATCAGAACCCAGTCCCAGGGACACTGAGTGCAGAGCAAGGTGGTGACGGGGCCTGTTTCGCTGACTTTAAAAAAGAAAGAACACTCGGCCCCCTCCGTGGGCGGCATCTCCAGAACTGAAATTAAGCACGAGGTGTCCCCCAGGTAGACACATGCATGTCTGTCCCCTTCTCCCTTCACCCCGGTTGTGGCTGGCGATGGGGGCCCCGGGCTGGCCGCGCGGGTGTGTGCTCTGGACTGCGGGGCGGGAGCTGCTCTGCGCCAGGCAGCAGGCTAAGCCCTTTACATGGATCATTTCATTTAATCCTCCTAACCGCCTCCAGGACGGCCGGTCCTATTATTTCCCCCATTTTCTAGGGCTGAGGTTCTGGGGGCTGAGGTGATGTTCGCAGAAAGTCCCCATGCTCCGCAAATGGTAGGCGCTCTCACGGTTGAACCTGGGAAGAGCAGCGGCATCTCGTTTGTTACTCGTGCGGTGGCTTTCCTGTCACGGCCCCGAGGTCCTCTCTCGTCCCTTGCGTGGGATGAACGGTCCCTGTCGTGGGCTGATCCGCGCGGGTCTCACGGTCACCGCGGGGGGAGCAGGAGGCAGCCGGTACCTCCACACTTCGGTACCAAGCTGGTGGCAGACGTGACCGAGTCGCTGGCGTGCTGTGTGGGTATGGGAGGGGTGCTGGGGGACGTGCTGGGTGCTGGACACGTCAGCCACGACTTGTTCGTGCACATGCAGAAAGCGGGCAGGAGGGGCCGGGCAGCCCCTCTCCGGGCCCTGCCCCTGTGCGTGGGGACTCAGATGGTCTGTCCTGGCCCGTAGGGGAGTGTCCTTCAAAACTGGCCCCAGAGCCCTTCCTTGCAGGGCAGGTGTGACATCGGGTCCCGGGAACCAGAAGCCCCTGTGCTGCCTGCATGGGGTGAGTGGATGAGGCCCATTCCAGGTGATAGGTTTTGAGTTGCAGACACCCTGCCTCAGGGACTGATCCCCCCACATGCACATTGTCATCGCTTCTTTCTCTCATCTGGTCCCCCCCCGCCCGCCCCAAGCTGCTCAGAGATGAGCCTGCCAGGAATCCCTGTCTCCAAGTTGTAGATGGTGTTGAGGGGCAGCTGCCCAGGTCTGGGGGGACCAGGTTCCCACCTCTGTCTGACATTCTGAGAATCCCAGCCTAAAAGGAGAGGGCCCCCGAGGGCCTCAGTCTTCCCATCTGTCAAATAGGGACGAAGGTCCCTCCACAGCCCACAGGCCCCAAGTGAGTGCCTCCGGTGTGCAGGGAGCCGTGGCAGACAAACCTGCCCCCCCCACTGCAGCCACAGTCTGGCGGGGGAGGCCGGCCGCTCACTGGAAAACGTTGCAATCTGCGTCGGTGTCGCTGTTGCACTAGTTCCAGGGTCTCCCCCCAATCCTGGGAGCTCGGCGAGGGATGGTTTTATCTCTGGGTCCTGGCATGGGGGGCCCGGGAGCAGGGACTGAGGGCCTCTCTGGAGCAGGGGCAGGCCCTGACTTGAGGCGGCTTCCATGGGACTGATTTATTCGCAGCCGCTCGGCAGCCCCGGGAGGAGCTGCGGTCCTAGGGCGTGTTGGGTCCCCCCGGCTGGAATGAATCTGGCGGGAGGATGAGTTTGGTCATGCTTGGGTTGTCAGGAACTGAAGGATAATATTCTCTCTTAAAAATATTCCCCGTGGATACCAGGCTCTCTGGCTCGTCCCAGGCAGAGGCTGGGGAATCCTGTGCCCATCCTCTGTGACGTTGGGCAAACCCCTCACCCTCTCTGAGCCCCAGGTGCCCCTTCTCATGTGAGGAGGAGGGGCACCCAGCTTCTGGGCTTGCGGGGGGATGCAGTGAGATAACACACGGGCATGTTAGCTGTGTGCCTGGTGTGCCCTCATTAAGTCCTACCTGGGCAAGAAGAGCAGCTGCCTCTGGTGTTGGCACACGGCATGCTCAGGAGTCGTCTGTAATTTGGGAATATGGCATCTTGAGGACATTTGGCCCTTTTGGATCAGTCTGGAAACATCACTCAGCAAACCCAGCTCCCAGAAGGGTCCCTAGGCCTTCTCTGTCTGAGCACAGAACTTGGGAAATGCCAACTTTCCTCCCCTCCCTGGCGCTGCAGCCTCAGAGCAAGGGAGCCAGGGGTCAGGAGTTGGGGCCTGGGTCTTGTCTTTCTTTAGCTGTGCAAACTTTGGCAAGGGACCTCGGTTTCCTGTCCATAAAATGGACACAGCGTTGTGTGTCTGCTCTGTGAGATAATGTGGTAAAGTGAAGTAAGGAACCCTTCTTAGAATCCTCTCTGTCTGTGGCAGGTGTTCCGCTTCCCCAATCCGGATCTCACAATGCTTGGAACAAGATTCCTTCTGGGGAGATTAGGGAGTGGGGTGTCACTGGGAACAAGGCAAGCCTGGGCTCAAGAGCAGCAATGTGGGGGCTGAATCTGAGGCCCCTAGCTTTCTGGGGTACCTTCTCCCCAGGAGGCCCTGGGTGTGGCACTAGCAGCATCCCAGCATCACCGCTGCTAACCGGCTTTGAAACCTCAGCTTTCCTTTCCGTGCAATGGGAGCACAGATTCCAGTCTCTTAGGCAGTAACGTGCCTACCTGGCCAGTCCCAAGGAGGGGACGAGGCTTGGGGGGGGGTCTCTAAATAAATGGCTGCAAGGACCCCTCGCCTCTTGACCTCTCCGGAGACTAATGACAGCGCCCACAGCCCCTTTGGGGGATCTCTCTGTATGCCAGGTTATTATAAGGCCCAGGGGAGAGGACGTCACCCCCACTTTAGCAACGAGGAACTGAGGCTCAGAGCGAGGGCAAGTGGCAGACCCCATGCCACGCAATGGTGGGCCTGGGATTGGGATTCAAGCTCCGTGGGGTCTGTGACTCCAGAATGACCGCTGTGACGCTGTCTCCTGGCTTCACTGTCCACTCCAGGAGGAGGACGAAGGGGGCACCTGCCGTACTTCCCGCTGGATCCGCAGGGCTAGAGCCCCTCCTGGCACGTAGTAGGGACTCACCTAGTAGGGCTTATTCATTGGGTGACTGAGGGAAGAAGCAAGGGAGAGAATCTCCGGCCCCCGCCCCAGCTGCTCTGGACACACAGGTCCTCAGCTGGGTGTCCCTGGGGCTCCAGGGTGGGAGCTGCGTTAGTCACACGGCCTGGCCCATCCTTCCGGAGGATTTTCTCTGCAGGCGGTGGCTCAGCTCCCCGGGGCGGGGGGGGGGGGGGAGGCCTCCCCCTTCATCCCAGAGGGAGGGATGGGCGGGGAACTCCTGCCTGGCACCTGGCCCTGCTGAGGAGGGCGGGCCGGTCATGGAGTTCAGTATCTGGGTGTGCTCCCTCAGCCGGAGCTGGGCCCCCACCCCCAATGCCAGCTTTTCTCACTTCTTTGGAGTCAGAAATTTACCTCAGGTCCATGCTCGAGCCCAGCTCTGCCCCTTCCTGGGTGTGTGACCTTGGGCAGGTCACCTCTCCTCTCTTGAGTCAGGCTCCAAACAGGAGGAAGGATGAGAATACTCATGGACATAGAGTAGGTCTGAGAACAGAACCATGGGTCACTTGGCAGCAATAAACTAGCAGCCCCCTGAAATGTCTCTGCCATTCCTTTCCTGCCTCAGAACTCCCAGCTCTTACTCTCTTTGAGTGTAATTCATACTAAGGTGTGAGTGGCTGCCAGACTTCCTTTCCCCTCAAGTCTGTCTAACTCAGACATCACTGTGATCTTTGGTGTTTCTGGTGCTGTGAGCAGGAAATGGAAGGGATTTTCATTGAGGGTATAGAGGAGGAATGGAACTCCCTCACCCCCATCACTGAAAGTCCCTTGGTAAAGCCACTGGAAATGGGCAAAGGGCACTGGTCTAGTTGGGGAGTCTGGGCTCCTTATCGTTATCGAGTAGTGTGGTACTGTTTCAGGAAGTTCCCAGCACATAATAGGCCTCTAGCAAATGTCTGTCCAGAGGATGACAAGAGGATGGGCTGTGCCCTACACCCAGACACTCCTCCCCTCTGCCCTCCAATTACATCTGGCGAACTCCTACATATGCTTCAATGCCCAGTTTAGATGCCCCTCCTCCAGGAAGCCTTCCCAAGTTATTTCACATCCAGGCAATCTTTTGGGAGCTCTGGTCCATCAGAGAGATGGGCCAACCCGGCCCAATTCTCCCATTTCCTGAGGGGGGAGAACCTGACATGTGAGCTGGAGCCCTACCCTTGGCTGAGGTCTCACAGCCACATCAGAGGCAACGGCAGGGGGATTTGAACCGAACGTATCTAGATCTCCACAGACGTCTTCAGGCATGAAAAGAGGGCGTGGACGGAGCCTCTGTTCCCTGCCTCTCCCACTCCGCCCCCCCTTAGGGCCTCCCGCGGGGCTGAGCCTGCTGCTAACATCTCTTCCTTTTTTCTCCGCAGCCCACGACCTCCCTGCAAATAAGGCCTCAGCCACCCAGCCGGGCAGCCACTTGCAGTGCCTGTCTGTCCACTGCACAGACGACGTGGGCGACGCCAAGGCCCGAGCCTCCGTGCCCACCTGGCGGTCCCTGCACTCCGACATTTCCAACAGATTCGGGACATTCGTGGCCGCCCTAACTTGAATTGACAAGAACGCCCCTCCCCCACCAGGCCCTTTCCTCCCTTCTCCCCCCCTTCCCCCTCCCTCTCCCCCCACCCCTGCCCTGAACCCCTACTCCCCCTGACCCCCACCCTCCTGGTAATTTGAAAGGGCCACTATTGCTGAGTGGATGATTTTTTTTCTAGGTTGGTACCTGCTTAGTGGCATATGGACCGGAAAGGGTTAATTTAAAGGGAAAAAAAAAACCTCAAAAAATTTTTTTAAAAAAGAAAACTCGTCTGCCACAGTATGTTACCAGTGTTAACCCTTTTGCAGTTAGCAAACTTTTGCTTCAGCCTTTTTCCTGCTAGATAATTCCCGTTTTTCTGTAACCTTGGCATACGTTTTTTTTTTTTAGATGACCTCTTTCCCTGTTTTATTTCCATGCTGCTGTATGTCCAAGCATTGTTATTTCGTAATAAGACAAGAGTTACTTTCTTTTTTTTATTCTCTTTTATTCTTATTCCTCTGCCCCCTCCCCCCGTCTTCCCCCCCCCCCTCCTTTTTTGCTTTGTTCACTGCTTATTAAAATGGAAATCCTGGAGAATAGTAGTTCTGGAATATTGCCGGGTGAAAGTCAAATTGTCATCACGATATTATATATTGACACCCAACTGTCATCAAGTCAGGCAGGAGCCAAACAACTAATGCCCCCCTTAGGTATTTCGCCTGGGATTTTGTTTTGTCTGTTCCCTGAGAAAATAGAGAGATATATATTTTCGTTCCTGCAAACACACGCTCAGCCTTCAGCTCCGTTCTGTCTTCTGCTGGAAGCTGTCCTCTCTGCAATGGAGGTGATGACGTGTCCAGCCCGCTCAGTGGGAAGGAGTCAGAATGTTCGACAGTGGTGTTTTCTCTCCTTTTCTGGGCCTCTGTGCAAACGCCCAGGCTCTGAATTTTCACGCTATGCTAAGCAGCCCTGGTGTGCGTGGGGGATGGTGCCCTTCCAGCTTGCAGAGGCTCTGGGGGGCTCCTGGCTCCTGCCCTGCTGCAGCCGGGCTGGCTGGGTCTTTGGTGCCCAGGTTGGGGGAGGATCAACGCTCAGCCCTTGACCTTTGCCCACAGCTGTTCCAGCCAGGCCTCACGGGAGGAAGGAGGTGGGACAGCGTGTATGTACCCAGCCTCTCCCATTCTGTCCCTGCTTCCCATCTATTTCCACCCCTGCCCCAGCCCTGCACCATCCAACCTGGGCAACCGACCCCCGCCCCCATCCCTAGAAGGGCTCTTGCCAGCACTTTTCCCAGGGGCTCATTCAGTGAAGGAGCCCCCAGGCCCAGCCTGCGGAGCCCCCCTTCTCTGAACCTGGGTATATTTCTTTGCAGGCTCCCGGTCAGGGGGTGGGGTGGGCATTGGAAGGAAACAATGGACAGAACCAAGGACTTTTGACTCCTCTGCCTTTTTTCTGAAACCCAGAAAACCCCCCACCCACCTTTTGATTTAATCTCACCTTGTTGCAAAACCAGAGCCATGTCCCAAGCACCTCGCCAAGGAATGATCTCTTAGCAGAGATGGGGAGCAGCAGGACCCCGTCGAGAACCCGGCGCGGCAGGCCTTGGAAGCTCAGGTTCGGCAGGGCAGGCACCTTGGGGGCTGTGGACAGGCACCTTGGGGGCTGTGGACGCCTCCAAAAGGCTTGTATGACTCCGGTGGGGGGTCGTGAGGGGCACACAGATTCCAGGGTGGATCAGACAAGTGACAGACAGCCCTTCACCCAAATCAATAACTCCCCCATTTACTTCTATTTTTGTTAAATTGCAAGTCTTCTTAAAAGCCTTGCGCCCCCTCCCCGCTGTCCCCAGGTCCCGAGAGTTTCTAGACCTATTTTTCTTTTTCTTTCTTTGTTTCTTTTCTTTTCTTTTCTTTTCTTTTCTTTTCTTTTCTTTTCTTTTCTTTTCTTTTCTTTTCTTTTCTTTTCTTTTCTCTTTTCTTTTCTTTCTTTTCTTTTCTTTTCTTTTTTCTTTTCTTTTTTTTTGCAAGTGATCTGAAGGCTTTGGATTCACCATACAACACCCACATTGTTTATTTCAAAGAACTTTTCAGCAAAGGGGGAAGAGTGTCCCGAAAAATCTCGCTCTTTCCCCTCCCTCTTCTTTCCTGCGGGGGCCCTTTTGGCTCGGGTCCGAGACTGGACAGTCCTTGCTCGGGGCCCGGCCCCGGCCCCCGGCCCCCAGAAGGCAGGCGAAGCAGGTGGTGCGAATTGGTCCGCAGTGAGAAGGTGTGAACGGACTCGGTCCCCAAGTTCTGCCACCAGAGGAAAGAAAAAGAAAATGGTCCCTCCTGCCACGGGCTGCAGGAGAATCAGCCATATAGTCTGAGCGAAACCCCACGCCCCCCTCTGACTCCACAATGTACAGCTGTTTGAGAGCTTTATCACTTTATTTTTTAAACAGGAATGATTTCTCCTTAATTGCTTAAGGCCGGGGAGCCAAGCGTCTTGACTTCTGTCTTTGCCTTTCCCTGCGTTGAGTTCATTAGCACCTGGCCATCAGCTCGAGGTCCTAGCATCGTCGGAAACCCCTGAAGTTTGAAACTTTCTCGCTCCCCACGACCCTAGAATGGAACAGCTTTAAAAATAGCCTTAAGCAAAAGGATGTTATTTCATTAAATTTGGTTTAATGGAAAGAATAAAGGCAAATTAAAAACACACCCAACTCACGAGACTCCAAACACTGGTAATCGGTACTGCATAGCAAACTTTTTTGGGAAAGAAAACGAAAACGTTATTGCACATGTAAAATATGAAATCTTAACTCTGCTGTGTGTTAGGCAATCCTGTAATCTTTTTTGACTCTTAAAAGAAATTCATTTCTGAAATGCTTGGTTGGAAGACTGTGACAATAGCTCATGAAATTGAGTGTTATTTTTTTCTTTCTTTTTTAAAAAAATATGTAAAGTGCAGTCTTCTGTATTCATGCATATTGTATATACCTGTATATGTTTTCCTGAGCAGCTAAATAACAATAAATATGACGTTAATGGTGACTGTGGTACATTTGTGGGTGGGGCTTGCTTTATTTTTTTCCCACCCCCCTCTTTTTCCATAGGTCTGTTTGGAATCCCACGGGGCAGCGGGGAGATGGGAGTGCAGGTCTGGAGGCTGTACTGCGCGTGTATGTGCACCTGCACCTATGTGTATTGATGCTGTTCTAAGTTGGGTCATCTCAGAGTTTCTCATCCTGGACGCTACTGACATTTGGGCTGGATAGTCCTTTCTGATGGAGTCTGTCCCCTATACTGTAGAGTGGTAGCACCCCTTCCCTTCCCCTTGCCCGTGACAACCAAAACATCCCTAAACATTGCCCTGTGTCCCCCAGGAGGCATGACCCTCCTGGGACTGAGGACCACTGGTATCTGATTGGTGCAGGAGGGAGGGGGTGAGGAGAGACTCCCCCCCCCCCCAGGTGGTCATACTGTGGTTCTTCTTTTGGGTTCCAGCACTGAATTCAGATCCCAGTAAGCTTTGTAACCTGCAAATTACCTATGTAACCTCTCACTTCCTCCTCTCTCTCATCTATGAAATGGGTCGAATTTGGGGTTCCAGGGGACAACCCAGGTGGACCCAGCAGGTGGTAGGGCTCCGTGTGAATAAACTGCTAGCATGGCATCATTCTCAGAGTGTGGCTCAACTGACAGCATTTTGGGGTTACGCTGTCCTGGGTCAGATGCTGCTTCCTCTGCTTACAACCATGGGCTCTGGGCAAGTGGTTTAAAGCTGGTCTCTATTTTTTTGTCTCAAAAATGGAGCACAGAAGGGCACCTGGGTGGCTCAGTCGATTAAGCATCTAACTCTTGATTTCGGCTCAGGTCATCGTGGGATCTCAGGGTCATGAGATCGAGTCCTGCATGGGGCTCCCTGCTTAGCAGGGACTCTGCTTGAGATTCTTTCTCTCCCACTCCTGCTCCTCCTCATCTCAAATCAATCAATCAATCAGTCTTTTTTTTTTTTAATGGAGCAAATAACATCTAGCTTGCAGGTTACTGTGAATACCAACCTTGTCCCAGGCCCTGTAAAAGCTCTCCTACCCTTTGGGCAACAGCTTCATGCTGGTACCTGCAGCCTCAGACTCTAGGTCATTACAAAACATTAGTTTACAAAACAGGGTTTGGGGGTGAAGAAATAGACAAGTAAATTGACAGTTAAAAGTGAGGGGAATATGCCCAATAACCCATGGCAGTACAAGGGATGAATGTTACTCTGAGATTCTTGAATCTCATATAACGGGCTTAGGGCAGATTTTCTTCAGTAGGTTATGTCCAGATGGGGTTTTGAAGGATGAATAGGAGTTCGTCTTATTTGTCCCAGCATATAAATTGGCCCTGATTTGGCAGAAATTTTGTTGTACTTCTCTCTCCAGCTTTTAAAGGTTTCTTTATACATGCAAAGGTATATTTGTCAGAATATGAAGTTTTAAGGACAGGCCTGTATATCCACTTTAATTTGGAGAAGCTTAAAAATCTCTCTAACCTTTAAAGGTCTCCTACTCAAAGTGACAGTGGTATATGATCACGTTCAGTACCCAGGGAAGGGAAGAGAAATGACAGAATGATGAACTTTGGATACAGGCGTTTGGGAGACTTCAGGTCAGTGTGAAATGAATGAGGGAGTGTCGCAGAGGGCCCAAGAACCAGAGAGCCAGGGACCGGCACGCTGTTGAGAGTAGGTGGGAACCTGTGCCTTGGGGGCTGCCACATGGGGGTGCATGTTGGTCTCAGGGAGGGCCTGGGTAGGGCTCCAGGGTAGGGTGCAGGTTGCAGGTTGCTCTTTTTGTATTGACAGAGAGATACCATCTTACCTGAATGTTCCACCAGCTACCTCCTCCACCCATCTCTGATGAGGGGACAGAGGAGGCATCAGGTGGACCCTCTGCTCTTCCAGAGCTAGGGGGAAGTGCAAAGAAGGACGTCCCATCACCTTTTCTCTCTCTCTCTCTTTAAAGGTTTTATTTATTTATTCATGAGAGACACAGAGAGAGAGACACTCACACAGGCAGAGGGAGAAGCAGGCTCCATGCAGGGAGCCTGATGTGGGACTCGATCCCGGGACCCCGGGATCAAGACCTGAGCCAAAGGCAGACGCTCAACCCCTGAGTCCCCCAGGGGCCCCATCACCCTTTCACTTTAAAAAAATTGGAAAAAGATTCCAAGGGCAGAGTGAACCGTGTGTTTCCCTAACTGACAAGGGGATGGGCAGGAAGGGCCCCACCCTGAGCACCAGGACTGTGTTGTAGCAGAGATAGAGGGTGTGGGAGGTGCCAAGCTTTGGCCCCCAGACTGGGCTGGCCTGGGGTGGACATGATTGTGGGTACCAAATCCTGCAATTGTCACACGGCCCAACGAGGTGCCCCAGGAACCTTGGAAAAAAGTTTCTTATTAAGGTAAAATTTTCCTAACACAAAACTCACCATTTAAGTGATTTTAAAGTATAGAATCCAGTGGTTTTTGGTATATTTATAGTGTTGCACGACGATCCTTGCTATCCACTTCTAGAACATTCTTATCACCCGAAAAATGAACACTCTACTCATGCTCATTAAATTCCAATTACCACCCCCCCTTCCAGCCCCTGGTAACCACTAATTTACTTGCTGTGTCTATGGCCTCGCCTATTCTAGACATTTCATGTAAACGGAATGGTACAATCTGCAGTCCCTTGGGGCTGGCGTCTTCCCCTTAGCCTGAAGTTTTCAAGTTTGCTCCTTTTTAATGACTAAATAGCATTCTGCTTATGAATATACCACATTGTCCTCTAGTCTCCAGTTGATGCACATTAGGGATGTCCACATGTCTTGGCTATTATATAATATTGCTGTGAACATTCAGGGGCAAGTTTCTCTGTGAACACATTGTTTTCAAACCTCTTGGGTGTACACCTAGGAGTGGAATCACCCGGTTGTATGGTAACCCCATGTTTGACTTTGTGAGGGACCACCAGACTGTTTTCTTTTTTTAAAGATTTTATTTATTCATGAGAGACACACACACAGAGATACAGAGACACAGGCAGAGGGAGAAGCAGGTTCCCTGCAGGAAGCCCGATGTGGGACTCGATTCCAGGACCCCGGATCATGCCCTGAACCAAAGGCAGATGGTCAACCGCTGAGCCACGCAGGCGTCCCATCCAGACTGTTTTCTGAGCAGTTGTGCCATTTTACCATCTTGGGAAGGGATTTTTTGTTTGTCTATTTAACCCACTGTTCCCCGCTCCCCTTTATCACATTTTAAAAATTAAGGTGTGATCTATACACAATGAAACCCAAGGGTCTTAAGTGTTCAATTTGGGGCATTTTTACATATGGCTACACTTGTGTAACCCAAACCAAGATCATAGAATAGGACAAACTTCCCAGAAGGTTTCCTCCTGCCCTTTTCAGTCAACTGCCCACCCCTCAAGCAACAACCCACTGGGCTTCTATTACCGTTGACTAGCTTTGCTCGTCCTTACATCCTGATGTCCTATAAATGGAAGCACAAGGGGATCCCTGGGTGGCTCAGCAGTTTAGTGCCTTCCTTTGGCCCAGGGCGCGATCCTGGAGTCCTGGGATCGAGTCCCGCGTTGAGCTCCCTGCATGGAGCCTGCTTCTCCCTCCTCCTGTGTCTCTGCCTCTCTCTCTCTCTCTCTCTCTCTCTCTCTGTCTATCATAAATAAATAAAATAAAATAAATAAATCTTTAAAAAAAATGGAAGCATGAGTCAGGAATCCCTTCCTCTGTATCAGTCCCATTTCCTCCTGTGGACATACCACAGTCTGTTTATTCATTTACCTGTTGATATACATTTATTTCCACTTTTGGTTACTAGGAGTTGAAGTACCATGAACATTTGTGTACAAACTCTTGTGTGGTCTTAGGCTCTCAATTTTTTTTTTTTTGAATGGCTGGGTCGTATAGCAGGTATATGTTTCCCTACTTAAGAAACTGCCAAACCAGGGAGCCTGGGTGGCTCAGTCAGTTAAGCACCTGACTCTTGATTTCGTCTCAGGGCTGTGAGATGAAGCCCCACATGGGGCTCCACGCTGGGTGTGGAGCCTGCTTAAGATTCTCTCTCCTTCTCCCTCTGCTCCTTCCCCTCCTTCTCTCACTCCCTCTAAAAAGAAGAAAGAAAGAAAGAAAGAAAGAAAGAAAGAAAGAAAGAAAGAAAGAAAGAAAGAAAGAAGAAAGAAAGAAAGGAAGGAAGGAAGAAAGAAAGAGAGAGAGAAAAGAAACTGCCAAACCATTTTTCAAAATGATGCTACTTCCCAATGGCCATGTATGGGAGTTCCAGTTCCTCTTCGTATCCTTGCCAACACTAGATTTTATCTCTTTCTAACTCTAGCTGTTCTAGAGTGAGTGTAGTGACATCTCACTGTGGCTGTGACGTTTATTTCCCTAATGATGTGGAGTATATTTTCATGTGTTTACTTGCTATCTGTATGTCTTCTCTCGTAAAGTGTCTGTTAAATTCTTTTGTCCGCCCCCCGCCCCTGCTTTTTCTAGTTTGGTTGCTTGTCTTTTATCATTGCCTAATACGAGCCCCTTTACCTGCTGTAAAAATTTTCTCTCAGACTGTGGCTTTTTGTCATGATCTTTTGAAATGCAAAGATTTTAAAATTTCAAAAAATTTCATAGTCCCTTTTATCAGTTTCTGTTATGGCAAGAGATGCATCCTTCCTTCCTTCCTAGGGTCAGGCTTGCTCCTAGTAGCTTGATGGTTTTATGTTTAACTTCTGACAATACATTTTGATTTAGGATTAAGACAAAGGTAAGGATTTCTTGTTTCTAGAATGTCTAGGTGTTCCGTGCCAGCAGTTCAAGAGACTTTCTAGTCCCTTGTTAGAAAGGAGATTGCTTAGCCATTCTTGGTGGAAATCATTGACTGTGTGTGTGGGCGGGGGTCTGCTTTTTTACTCTGTTTTGCCACTTGGATGCATTTTAAGCTGGAGTCACATGGCAGGTTTGGTGCATTCCCTCCAAATAATAGAATAGAACAGAGGGAATCTGGAGGAA